TTCGGTTCAGGAAAAACTTCTCTTTTAATCCAGGAGGACATTGAAACAACTTCAGATGTTGCCGAATGAGACACACAACCTCCTCTCCCCCATGCACGCCTGGATGAGGACAGGCCACAGAATGGATCTCTGGAAACTCTGACTCAAAATCAATATGTGCCACAGTGTATAAAATAATAATAATAGTAACAAGGAGAAATTGAATTATTGATGTAATCCTCTTTTATTTTTATATTTTATACAAACTAAGAAAATAAGTCCAAAAAGGCAGAGAAGAAAGTTAGTATTTAATATAGGATTCATAAATAATAGACACAAAGCAAGTATCTCCACACACACCATGGCAACAATGCTCATCTCACTATTACCCAGGAATCTACCCAGGATACATGCAGCAGATCTTGGAATCACTGCCCACATGTTGTTCAGGGATCCAAGCAGGAATAAAATGGCAATTCAGTCCGATTCTACACCGATTCAGTCAGTTGCTCTGACTGCAGCATCCAGTCAAGGACAAGTTCTGTTTGCAGTCCGTTGACAAATATCACATCTAAGGCACTGTGACAGAAAAATAAACCAATTCAGTGTTCAGGTGTATTGTTCATGACGACAAATACATGTTGGCAGCGCCATAACAACCACATGAACCATTTAGTGACGTCTGAAACAGCGTCAGGCATTCCACATATTCACAACATGTTTAATTTGTGTGATGAATTAAGTTAGGAAGCAGAACAAGATGTAAGAGATGAATGCTAGAAGACTGTATCGTGAGGCCAAGAGCTGAATAATCCCCTTATCCACGGCAGCCTATAAACACGTGTGGTGACACAGGAGGAAGATTCAGCCCACATCAGTGTAGTTTCATTCTCTCTTTCATAAAAAAGGAGAAAATGACGACCTCTGCAGTGCTGTGACTCATCCTGGTGGAAAACAACCTTTATAGTCACTCTGGGTATTGTGCAATCACACACACAGTCTCATATACAATCTGCTATTGTGTATGCTGTATATATGCAATAAGTTAAACTCACACTCAGCCACCCACATATCTTAGATATTTAGTTTGAATTTGCTTGTTCAGCCAGTGTTCAGATCAAAACATTGAGAGTACCATTCTTTGACAATGGATGGAAACGTGCCCACAGCACCAGGGGCGGATCTGGAAAAATTAAAAATAGTTTTATTTCCAAATCTTCAAACATTTTTCCAAATACATGTATTATTGAACTGAACTAAAGCCTGTCACGTAGTCTAAAATGTGTCCATAACAGATCATTAAGTTATATGCGTTAATATCCATTTTGTAAAATTTTATTTATTAAATCAATCAAAATGAATGTGTCAGACTTGACAGTATTTTACACCAAACTGGGGTAGCAGCTGGCGTGGCCAAGCATTACCAGCCATGCCACGCCTTTAGATCCAGCCCTGCACAGCAAAGCCAAAAGCTGGCTGAAATGCTTTATAATATTTTTACTTATTCTTTTATCAAACAGATTATGATTTAAATTGTATGTAGGTAAAGTTCTCAATTTTTGAGAACTCCTTTTTTTAAATGAAACAAAGAGTTTATTTTTCACACAGTATTTTACTGAATGCAGCATTGTTTTGATGTTGATACCAAAACTCAAACTCAAAAGAATTAGTGTTGAGACAAAACCCTCAAGTCATGTCCAGCATTATGCATATTGAGATCCCTTGTGATCAACAGTATAATACAGTAAGTGACTGGCTGAAGCATTTGCTGCTGCCAAAAAGTTGATATTCTGTATTAAAAAAACAAAACAAAAAAAACAAGTGTCCCTCCATTTACTGAAGACTGGTCAATTAAATTGCTGAACTTGAAAGAGTCTCTGAGGTTGCAGAGTTTGATAAATGTGGACATTTGTCAGACATGGAGGGTCGACTCAAAAGACACAATCGAGTTGCATTATAATAATCAGAGGATTCTGAATTGTTGTAGCTTGACCCATACTGCACAGGATATCTCAGCCTCTGATGCTCTTCAGAATCAGAATCAGAATCAGAAATACTTTAATAATCCCCGTGGGGATCACTCTTATTGTGACCCTTCTTTTTTTGTTTGTTTCTCACAGGTCCCCAAACTTTATGGAAGTGCAATACTAAATTGTGGGAAAGTCTCTTTAATACAGACTGTCTGGATTATTATAATGTCGCCCATTCTAGCATTCTTGTCCTGAGTGATGAAAGAAAAATCATGCTTAAGTAAGCATGATTTTTTGCACTCAATCTAGTCATTTTTTATGGTTTACCTATATTTTTCTACTTTGTCTTTTTTCTTTCTACATATTTATATATGAAATATATATATATATTTCAGCAGTAAATACATCAAATGGCAATAATTATGTTTATTAATGTATGTTGAACCTTAGAATTACATAAAATGAACAAGAATACCCTTTTATTTATCTATATATTATATTAGTACATATTTATGTAATTGTGTGTTATACTTTCTTCACCATTAGATCAGACTGACAATGAGAATGACAATGACTTGTTGTGTGTTGTCAGCTGACTGCCTCTTCAGCTGATCCTGAATGCGCCTGAGCCTACCAAGTATTTGCACTCTGGGCCTACAGATGCTTTACATCAAAAGCCAGTGATATGATCTGAGCAGCAGCAGACAGATGAAAGGCACAGTCATTCTGAGAAGTGCACATCCTGACCTGCCACATGCATCAAATCCATTTTCATTAGCGTCTGAGTGCAAGGCAGTGTGCCTAATAGGTTTTAAGATACTTAGGAGCTTGTATTGAGCTGGTGAAGCCTTCCAGCGCTGCTAAATTGTACAATAAACAATGTTCCCACCTACATGGCGAGTGAATGAGTCACCACACACACATTTAATGCACATATAGCTGCCATCCACTTATTTCACCTGAATTAACTGAAATATGCTATGAGTCACATGGACTATCCATGACTGTATAGTGCATTAAGTATATATAATAAAACATAGTGAATATGCTTCCCATATTATATTAGGTTTATTGTAAATATATACTCATTATTCATACCTGTACAAAGTCGGCTGGCCCCATGCAAAACATTTGTATCAAAACTTTATTCAGTAAACCAGTTCTGGAGTAACATATGCCATGCTTTTGTATTTTTTCTTTTTTTAAGTTAGGTTGTAACACAGATCATCATTCCAGGCATCCAGATTTCCTCTTTCATGCAGTTTTACAATGAGCTGCACCTCTGCTCCTGCAAGACATGTCCAACAAGTATTCCAAAATCATGCTCAATCATCCATGGGGAAGAGGGAAGAAAGAGCACAAAGGCTAGATTTGACATTACAGCCACTAGCTGCTCACTTTGCTACGGAGTAAAGGAGTGTAAGACAGGTTTATGATCATGACAGCGAGCATGAGTTTAGCAACATAGCATTTATGTTTTGGAGGTGGATTGATAAGAAATGTTGACACAGGCGCGAGCTTCTGAAAGACATATAAGAATGGCGACTGGGCTTGGAAACATTAAAGGGTCAGTTCACCCAATTTACAAAAAGTTTCTTACCAACCTCTAGAAGAACAGTATTGAAACGTGCAAAGGTTTGAAGACATCGGCTTCTAACATTTCTGTTTCCACCTAAATACAATGATTGTGAAAGGAATTTTGTTTGTGGTGCTCAATGTTTATATATACATATATATATATTGAGAGCAACATCTTTTTCTAGTAGCAATCCTGATCAAATCTCTGAGGATCTCAAAATCTGGTCAAATAAACCAGAAATGATCTACATGGCTGCATACTACCAGAAGTATCTGAACATATGTTCTTTTCCTAATTTGGGTGAACAGAAAATTTAAAGAGCAACTTAAGCTTTATTCCTGACCCAAGTGGTTGAAGTTCTCACTTCGCCGCAGTGCTGTAGAAATGTACTCAGAAGGACAGTTAAAAGAGGTCAATAAAATAATGTTTTTCAGCCTTAAGTTACTCTTTGACAGAGCAGCTGCAACTGAGCCTAACAAAATATCAAGCTTTCAGGATTACAACTCGAAAAATACCACAAAAAAACACTGTCCAAAACAATGAGCTACTAACATTACAGAAAGTGCATCAAATGGCCATTACAAACTAAACCTGCCTTATTTCATCAGGTGAAGAAAAGGTGGGACCGATTCACAGTTCTTGCTCTCTCCACTGTACATTATCAGTTACCTCTTTGAAAAGACTACAAATTCACTAACTGAATTCAGTATTAGGTCTGTTCACTTCCTTCTAAAGCACTATTTCCACACTGACAGGGGCATGTCACTTAGGAGCAGTATTTCAGCTGACATAGCTCTATATAAATTAATGACCACCAGTTTTATGTATCAAAGTATAGTGACATCACTCTGTACTTTAAAAATTAAAGTCCATAAAGTTAAAAATCCAACATATATTTGGGCTACAATGCTGTTTTGTTTGTGTTAAATATCAGAAAACACTGTTGCTACTGTATGTTGTGCTATCTGTTCTTTTTTTGCCTAAGTCACGACATCTTAATCGTTCTTTTTTAATAAAAGTTATTTTAACATCCCATTTATAAGACACACTGCCCTCTTTAATTAATTAGAGATGGGGTGAAGACTGAAGAATACCAGCTAATGAGAGTATCGCTTTATTGGAGCTAAAAATGCTAAATTAGTTAACTATAGATAGATAAAAGAAAGAAAGAAAATGCAATCACATGAAGAGAAGAGGGATGTTTTCTCCTTTGGATGGATGTGTGATGGAAAAACATACTGGCTACTTTAGGTTATTCATGTATAAACCACCTAAACATCAAACAATGAGGAAATCAAAAGACAACACACAATCACTGGAAAAACTTGGGAAAATTAAGCTTATAAAGACTGAACATAATCAATGGCAGAGCACTAAGGATGCGACTAAGACAGAAGTCCACACTACATCCAAGCAAACACCAAACACACAGTAGCTAGCACAAGAGAAAAACAGATAGAAAACCATGCAAGCACAGAATGAAAAAAGGTTTATTGAACTAAATTAGGAATGTAATCAAACTTTTGTCTGAAACAAATGAAAGAAAACAAACAAAAAACACAAATCTGGACCACAGTTTGCACCAACAAACACACTGTAGATGCAAAACCTACAGAGAACCTAGTTTCAGTACTAAGTCTTCACATTATTCTTTCTACATTGTAGTGAAACAAAACTGCTTTTTAAAAAGAGAGGTGCGGGGAGGTGAAAAATCTATAAGGGAATTTCTATGGTGACATTTAAAAGGAGGTTATTGATTCTATCAGTGCCTCATTCAGTTCAATGCTTTTCTGTGACCGAGTTCTACGTACTGCTCAGACAGCAGCTCAACTGTATCCACGTCATAATACAGTTTCTTTACAGCTGAAAGCTCTCTGACTAAACAAAAGGAACTGCGGTTTGTTCATAAATAAAAACAACAACAAAAAACAACACCAGTTGGTTCATGATTTTTTGAGCACCTACACAACCTGGACAACAGCTGGGAAAAAAAATAAAGTTGCTTGATAATTGAATCTTCTGCCAGGTCAGCTCTGGCAGTGTGAAAAGTGGCTGGGGTTTGCATTTCTGTAAGCAGACTTCTGTTGGTTGTTTTGGTTTATTTTCCCTCGATCACATCTGTTTGAATGCCGTTGGGCTCACTCCACTTTGCTGTAGTCCTCTACGTGGCCCAGCACCTTCTTCCTCTGCCGTATCATGTGGAAGTAAAGCTGGGGGAAGACTGAGGGGAGGCAGAGGGAGATCAGTATGTTACCAATACACTGAGGCAGTCTTACATCACATTGGAACAACAGCATCAACAAGGGAGAAACCCCCCTTCTTCAAATGTCCTGCCATAAAGTCGACTTTCATGATGCCTACAATGTTTTTATGACACTTTAACAAAGGGGTTCATTTAATTATACAGTATGTTTCAGCATTGAAGTCATAGTTACTGATTGTGTTGTACTGGACTGCAGTATGTACGTAAATAGGGAGGACACACCTCTCAATATACTGTAAAACTTAAATTAAAAGCAGGATCCCCAGGTGCCCTTTACTAGCATGGTGTGGCTACACATTTTTGACGAGGTCTCAATTAGGCGTCAGATCTGGATTTTACTGAAATTCTTTGGATGTATAAAACCTCTTAAAGCCCACCACATCACCTTCTTGCGTGAGTTCTAAGCTGCTTATATCACCTACACGAATATGCTACACATAATTCAAATCAGTTAGATTCTCCACAATTCATCCAGCACTAAAGTATCGAATGATTCGTAATCAATGTTATTCAGTAGCCTAATCTTCATACAAGTAATATTTTGGTTTAAATAAACCACTTTAATAGTATTTCCCATCTTTGCTGA